AGTGGTTGTCATATTATTTTACTGGTGGTGAAATTTGGGCAGAGTGCTACCATCACACAAAGCTACCAAATCTATGTGCTTAACCACACACCTGCTCCCTTGGGCCAGCATTTAAAGTCCCAAACAATATGGTGATGAGAGAAGGATGGGGCAGACAGGTGGAATCATCCTAGGGACTTTTGGGAGATTTATGTCAGACATTCTGGAGAGGCAGTGATGCCTGGGACATAGCTTTGGGAGCTGTGCTCAGTAGAAACTGTAGAAAAGAGAACTGGCTGGCTGTATCCAGTCTGTATTCAGTGTTGTGGTGCAGCCCTGCCGTATCGTCACAGACTCAGAGGGCCCTGCCTTTCTAGGCTTTTCTCAGAGTTACTTGATGCTGGCCACACCTGCCCCAACTCCCTTAACCTATCACAGAGACCACAAGACCTGGTGCTGGGAGATTATCTAGCCTCTTTTTGCTGTGGTGATGGGTTCTGGAAGGAAATGGGACCCCACCCGCACCCCACGCACTCTGTCCCAGGAGCCTTGACAGGCTGGAAGGAGGGATTCCTGGTAGATGTGCCTGGATCCAGGCCAAAGCTCTGAATGTAGCGACCACAGTAGGCATGAACTTCCTGTAAAGTGTTAGGGATCTCCAAAAAACCTCTCAGTGAGGAGCACTGTGCACCCCAGTCATAGCCCTGTGCTGAATTTCAGACACACCAGACTAGAAGTGGGTCTCCGGAAGTGGGGAGGTCACCACCTGCCCTTCCCCACCTAGAATGTGTTTTTTGAGGAAAGTAGATTGAAAATTAAGTGTTAATTCTGACCAGAAGGGACTGCTTGTATGGGTATCCTGAGACCGTTCCTGAACTTGGCAGCACGGAGCTTGTGGTTAATTGGCGATGTCTGTGGTAGGCGTGCTATGCGGTAGGTAAGGAAGCTCTGGACACCAAACATGACACAGAGCTGCGTGACACTGGGGTCACCTCCTACTGGAAGAGAAGGCCAGAGAGGGCACAAGTGGCCAATGGCCTTTTCCACTGACCACCTGGAAACTCCTCCAGCAATTGGCTTGTCAGGTTTTGTGGACCCTGTGGTCTGAGGTAGGCCCCTGTGACTCAGCTTTGATATCCCCTTTCCTCCACTGTGGTCACTGATGCCTATCTAGTGCTAAGCACTCCTGCCAATGCCTAACTGTAGACAGGCTGCCAGGTCTCTCAACTGCACCACTTAGGGCAGCTTCCGTTCTCAAAAGCCTAAACCTCAGAGAGCAGCCTAGGCTTTCAGCTGCTGGAGGAAGGTCTTGTGTTCTTCTTCGTTCTTGTTATTATGATAAATGACATGGAACATAGAATTTACCATCTATCTTAGTCTGTTGAAAGGGTGATAAACAGCGCTGGTGGCGGCACTGGTTACTGCATGGAAAGGTCACGAGCATGACAGAACCCAGTGTTAGTTTTTAGAGCTTTGTTAGGAGGGAAAAGTGGGGTGGGGGAGAGGCATGCCTGGAGAGAGAGAAAGATTGGGGGGGAAGCAGAGCAGAGAGAGAGAGCATGAGGTCTGCGTCCACCTTTTTAAGGCACGTACCTAGTCATCAGCGCACACTGCTGGCATAAGACACAAGACCTTTTGCTTAACTCCTGAACTGCGCACGTGCGGTCACGAGCTAGAGTAAGGGCAGAATCCTCGTGTGTGTGTGTGTGTGTGTGTGTGTGTGTCTGTGTCTGTGTCTGTGTCTGTGTCTGTGTGTGTTTAGCTGGAGATGGAACTAAGGGCATTGTGTATGTTAGATGAAGGCTCTACCATTTCACCCCTGGCCCATCTTAACCATTTTTTATTTCTTCTTAAAAATCTAAAAGAGCCATATTTGTGTTTATTTTTGTAGACATTTTTAAACAAAGATGTATTTCTTTATCTATTTGTTTATGTGTATACGTGTCTATGAGAGCATGCACACTTGTATTTGCAGGTATATGTGCCTATGTGCATGTCAGAAGAAGGCATCAAGGATCTTCCTCTACTTTCTATTCTTTTGTGGCAGACTCTGTCCTTGAGTCTGGGGCTCATGGCGTATTTTGTTATCATTGCTGTTTGTTTTTTGTTTTTGTTGTTTTATTCTTGCTAGGCTGGAAGCCCCAGTCATCCTGTCTCTTCCCCTGTCACAGCTGCAGTTATAGACTCATGAGACCCAGATTGTTACCTGGGTGCTGTAAGATTTGAACTCCAGTCTTTGATTGGCAGCCATTTCTCCAACCCCAACATTTTCAGAGCTTCAAAGTTGGAGGCTAATTTTCCACAAGAGGATAAATGAAAAACTAAAATATTGTTAATCTTAACTTATGATTTTTAAATTTGTATTTTTAATTTGTAAATTTTAAATTATGATTTGTAAATCTCTAAGTATTTGTTTTATTTTTTACTAGCACTTTTAAAATCTTAACAAACCCTTTCATCAGTTGGCTTAAAAAAAGACAAAATTATTAGGGACACTGGACTACCATGATGGAGAGATATTCTGTAGAATACACATTTCTGACAAGGCAGTGATTGAAGCTAGGAACTTGCACATGCTAAATGTCTTAGTTTGCTTTCTGTTGCTGTGATAAAATGCCGCGACCAAAAGCAGCTTAGGGAAGAAAACTTTATTTGACTTATAGGTTATAGTCTACCATCAAGGGAAGCCAAGGCAGAAACTCAAGGCAGGGACCTGGAGGCCATGGAGGAGTGCTGCTTAGTGGTTTGTTCCTCATGGCTTGCTCAGCTTTTTCTTTTTCTTTATTAATTTATTTATTCTTTGCTCATATATTACATCCTGACTGCAGTTTCCCCTCCCTCCTCTCTTCCCAGTCCATCTCCCCACCACCCCCCTTACACAGATCCACTTCTCCATTTCCCTTCAGAAAAGAGCAGGCCTCCCAGGGATATCAACCAAACATGACATAACCAGTTGCAGTAAGACGAGGCATAAACCTTCATATCAAGGCTGGTGAGGAACCCGGTAGGAGGAAAAGGGCCCCAAAAGCAGACAAAAGAGTCAGAGGCAGCCCCTGCTCTCACAGTTAGGAGTCTCACAAGCACACCAAGCTACACAACCATAAGGCATATGCACAGGGCCTAGGTCAGACCATACAAGCTCCCTGATCATCCCTTCAGTTGCTATGAGCCCCTAGGAGCCCTGCTTAATTGATTCTGTGGTCCATATTCTTGTGGTGTCGTTGACCTCTCTGGATCCTACAATTCCTCCTCCTCCTCTTCTGCAGGATTCCCTGAGCTCTGCCTAATGTATGGACTGAGGGTCTCCGCAGCTCAGATACCTTTTTCTTATATAGCCCAGGCCCATCTGTCTGGGCAGAGTGCTGACTACAATAGGCTAGGCCCTCACACATCAATTAGCAATTAAGAAAATGCTTCCTTGATATGGCTGCAGGCCAGTTTGATCTGGACAATCCTTCAGTTGGGGGTTTCCTATTTCCAGGTGACTCGAAGTTTGTATCAAGTTGACAGCTGAAGCTAACTAACTATGACACTAAGCAATGCTTTGCTGCTGAGTTTCATCCCCTGAAATTCCTTGTTCGGAACCTCAGGGCCATATTTCTCTCTGCCCAGGATCTCTAGTCATGTGCAAGAGATGGATACTGCTGGGGAGCTGCTTGAGACACAAAGGGGCATTCCCATGGCCTCTGCAGAAGCACCAGCAGTTACCCAGCCTGATGAGCAGGACCCACATCCCAAAGGCCCTGGAACTGAGCTGGAAGAGCAGATCCCTAAGGGAGCCAGACCATCTCTACCCCTGCCAGAGAGGGGTATCGACAATGGAGGAGTGAGCACAGAGGAGGAGGCAGGGCCTGGGGCTGAGCCTCTCACAGGACCAAGCTTGGCCACAAGGGACTGTGGAGATGAGGCTGTTGGGACCACAGACCTGCAGCAAGACACAGACCCAGGAGCAGGGAAGCCTGAGCCTGGGAAGGACCCTGCAGCCAGGGGCTCAGGGGGAACAGAAGCTGGAAGGAGGATGCCTGCTCCTGCAGAGGCTGCCATCATGGTTCTTGGTAAGTAGGGCCATGGCTCAGCTCAAAATGGCCTTGAGGTGAGTGGTTGGGAGCCTTCCTACACCTTCCATAGATGATGTGGTTCTGAGGAAGCCTAAGGTTCTGGAGAGTTAAGTCCTGGTGCTAGAGTCCAAGATGCAGAAATGTGACGGATTAGACTCAGGTCTTGAAATGGCTTTGATGGTTGGGAAGTGGAAACCTCTGGGGCCCAACTGGGTAGATTTCTCAAAGCGACTTCCCCGCCTGAGGGTTCTACCACTGGCACCATTTTAAATGAGAGCAGACAAGAATGCAAAAAACACAAGGGCTAGGGATGTAGCTCAGTTGCTGGCGTGTTTGCCTGGTATGCATAAAGCTGAAGCCCTGGGTTTGACCCCCAATGTTGCATAAAACCGAATGTGGTATGGCATGTCTCCAATCAAGCATGTGGGAGATGGAGGCGCAAGGATAAATTCAAAGTCGTCCATAGCTACATAATGAGTTTGAGAGCAGCCTAGATTCCATAGGATGCTCTCCCCTCAGAGAGGTGGTGTAGAAGAAAAGAAAAATAGAGAAAAGACACTGACTGATACGTGTAAGACACAGTGAGTCATTTCCACTGCCATTTGCAATGGGGTGGAAGTGGTGAGATTTTGACCTACTTGTCATTCCTGAGGGGTGTTAGGTGTCTCTGTGTCCTTCTGCCACAAAGACCTTCAGGTCCAACAGTTCAGAAGTCTCCCTCCTGGTGGGAGAATTGTCTGTGGAGCACTCTCTACACTCAGGGAGCACGCAGGATTCTTCAGGACAGGCGAAAACAGACAATGACCCAGCCTCAGCGTCTTCCAGCCATTTGTGCAAGAACTGCTTTGTAGTGTTGTGACTGTTGCATGTTTCCTTTTTAAAAAAATAATTTCATGTGACATTTCTAGGTGTCATTATATTACCCAATTAAACATTCATATTACCCAATTAAAATGAACACCGAGGGCCAGTTCAGCAGGCAAAGGCATTTGCTGCCAAGCCTGAGTTCAGTTCCTGGGACCCTGAAAATTATTCTCTGACCTCCATGTGTACATGTGTGCCATGGTACGTGCACACACACACACACACACACACACACACACACACACACACACA